GGGGTACATAACAGTTTTCATAATTATGAGGACAGAGCAGATGATGATGAAAGATGCAAGTATAAAACACCATTCACAAGACTAGATGTTAACATAGCACAGTATTTCTGGCAATAAAACGCTCCAACTGACCAACTGACCATTTCACACGAACTTTTATCGCTGGATAATTTTGCGAGTTTTCATCCAATTCAATCATATATATGCTCAAAATCTTCGCGGTAAGTTTCTCTTTACCATAAAATTTGACCGAATAAGTTTCAAAACAATGCGATGGCAAAAAATGCAAAAATCTTGATTTTCGTAATAGAATCTATAGTCTTTTTGCCCTCTTGTACCGCCATCTTGGATTTATCATGTACGTTAGGTATGCGTTAGCAATCTAGATCTCCTATATCTATGGTCATGACCATGTCTGGTCAGCGATGTGATTTATTCTCGATCTTTCTTGCCTTCTGCGTGCTTTATGCAAATCAGTCTTCCTTATTACAGAAAATATACACCTCGCAAAGTTGCTTTCCTTTCTATGAATATTTCCTCAAATTCTAAATTACTAGTTTCCTAATGTCACCTAGTATTTTGTACAAGCCTATGGTAGGTAATTCAACGATGTGTGAAGATTGGAGTGATCCAAGATTAAAATATCTGGGTGACCATGAAGTGAATGCAAACATATCCAATTTGTAAATCATCAAATGAATGCAAGTGTGACCAGCCCTATTCACTATACATATCAAAATTATCAAAGAAAGTCGTTATTTCGTGTCGTGATCCACTACAAGTTCTTCCCTTTAACGTTACCGGTCTTAGTGAAGTTTGAAGTTCTGTCTTTATTCTAAAGGTCCACTTCCACTCAAGAAAATTTTCCACGGACAGAAAGTTTTCCGAAAATGTCATTGTTAAAAGTTGAAAACTTTCAACTTCAAAATTTTCTTCCGACGAAATATTTGTGTCGGCCAATCACATTTTACAAAATTTTCTTTCTGCGGAAAATTTTCCTGAGTGGAAATAGGCCTAAGTACTGTGAATTTCGTAATAGTTTGCTGACAGGAAAGATGGCCAGTGCTATGTTTTATTAAATAGTCATCAAGTTGATGAAAATCAAAACGACAGTTTAATTCGGCTTAATTACATTCAAATCAGCTTCCGAGTCTGTTCATGTAAATCTCTATTGAAGTGCCCTTATTTCAAGTGTTTAATGGTATGGAGACTTCTAGATAACTGCTAGTGTTGCCAGGGTAAACATCAGGTTTCGCGCACGAAAACGTCTCGGCTAATTTGATTCAGACCCACGCCTTCATCAGTTAAAAAATCCAGGATCTTCTTCATGGACTCTTCTCTCGTTTTACAGGAGTATTTCTGGGAGACACCCACCTGCAAGGGCAATTCTGGCAGACACCCCCCGAATTAAAAAAGGCTAGTTTCGCCCTGTAGAAATGTATTGTCTTTGACGTAATTAGATGCAGGTTAATGAGCATAGCATGACCAGTTGCCATGGCTAGCTTTGCGACTGCTTTCGAGGAAGATCAAACCCTATACCTCCTACCCAGGGCTTTGCGCTGGTGGCTTCTCAGCCACGGACAGACTCTAAAACCAACCCAGCCTGGTTTCCAGGCTTTATCGTTCTGATAGACAGCGTGGCCAATCGTGCTTTGTTGGCGCTTGCAGGCTCACAAAATATATATCGACAGGAAACGCAGCAAGTTTGGAACCAGCACGATTCCTCTAATACAAAGCACTGCAAGAGATTTTGACTCAAAAACTCATAACATATAAATACACTCACAGCATAGTTAATAGAAGAGATGGTTTGGAAACTCATTAGAATAACAATATAACTCATTATCTATGTTAGTCAACGTTTATTGATAAATCTGGTCTTTCACCGTCACGTGCGTATCGTATTTTTGCCCAACTAACCAATAGCAATGTTTTAGGAAAGTTACCTATCCGTGACTAGAACAGTAAGGTAAATTGGAAATTGCTATTGGTGGATTTGGCAAAAATACAATACACACGTGACGGTGAAGGACCAGATTTATGAATCAAACGTTGACTAACATAGATAATGAGTTATATTGTTATTCTAACTGAGTTTCCAAACCATCTATTCTATTAACTATGCTCACAGCGACTCAAATACTGCCTTAAACTTACTCAAATTTATAACCAAATTTACTCATTGTTAATTTGAGTAAAGTAAATTATTACTCAGAAAGTTGAGTAAATTGGAAATTTGACTAAAAAAATTAAGTCACTCTGAGGGTGCATTATATTTGAATCAAAATACGCAGGAATTTTTAATAAGGCATAAAACAGGTTAAATCTCAAATCACAGAATATAGACAGTATATTTTCCATAGTAAATTTCTTACAATGTAGAAGTGTCCAAAATCTAAAGATGATTCTAAACTATGACTGTATATATACAAAGATAGCTTCGTAATTTCTCCAATAAATAGTTACTACATTAAAAGTGATGACAAATAAAAAATCATAATTTTTTGGAATAACATCAATACCATTTCGCATTTTTCAAACATGTCATTCCAAGAACAGTCAATAAAACAACGTCCATAGTTAGCCTCTACTCTCAACTCTAGTTAGTTTATATTGGCAAATTATTAATAAATATATATATGTTATCAGTTAATATAACTTATTATATAACAACAAAGTTTTTCTTCAGGTGCTGAAAATTCACAATGGAAGTGCCGACTATCTGAGGACCTTGAGTTCAAATATCGCATGTAAGTAGGTTTCACTAAGGATTTTATATGGTGCTCAACATGCTGGTCAACTTTGAATACACCCTTTCGATAATTACGTCACGCATACTTTTTGGTCTTGGATGTATTGATTTAAGACTGTCACAGTATTGACATATACATATACATATATACACCTGGACTGCTTGCTCGGTCTTCGCAATATGGTGGAAATATGAGTGATTGCTGATGGAGTCGACCGCTGACCAGTACTCAGAACTGAAAGTATTTTGCTATGCGCCAGCAGTGCTGTTTACTCTCATATTCGTCCGCTTCAATTTGCCACGCAAGCCTTCAGTCAAAGCTATTAAGCAGTCCAAATATATATGTATATATATATGTCAATGGTCACAGTTGACCACTACTATGTCCACTGGTTTAATTAATGAAACCTACTTACTGCTGCAGACTGTTCTTAAATTATCCCTCAAAAACTAGCAACTCGTCAAAAGAGTCTTTTCATTTTTGCTAGCATATTTTAAGATAAACTTGGATATCATATTTTATTCTTGTGTAGAAGGGTGACCATATCAAATCAGTATCTCATGGCCAACTTGGGATGTTATTAGACAGACCGTATATTTCATTGCAGTTATCACCAAAACAGCAACAAAAATATGTCCCTCGGTAATGCGGATTCGATATGGCTTGTTCGGTTAAACATTTCCCAGGTGTGCATGCCGTTCTGCTATATGCGAGCCAACAGCCTTGTAATATCCTTTGGTTGTTATCCCACGCTGTGTAACAGCCAACGTTACTTGATTTACCAGTGCATGTCTCTGTCTGTTCGCCACATCCATCGTTGCTGTTGTGACAATCGTCCTCGTAGTTGTAATAAGCACACGTACGCGAGTTCAAATCTGGAATGAGAAAAAAGAATTAATTCGAATACATTGTAAAAGTTAAAAGGCTTGGATTCTGGAATTCAAAAACCCGCATGGTATCATGCACTCATGCACTATGTGGTAGTAAATTATAATATTATGAAACTAAATAAATTATTGCAGTAATAAATATACTTATATTGAAACTTATTCCAGATTAATCATCTACTGGTGGTATATTTTTTTGTAAGCAAAGTTTAACTCAACACATTATTCCTGAGGCCTTTTTTATACGTCGAATTTCGGTCGCGTCGAATGCAATTCCAACAGTAAGTAGTGAAGCTTAATGAGGTTTATCATCTCATTATCTATTGTCTTAATTGCATCCGACGCGACCAAAATTCGACGTATAATACAGACCGTAAGAACGTCAGAAACAGTATTCATTACACTAGTGGCAAAAAGTGTCCCCCTCAAGTGTAAAAGCAGAATATAACAATAAAAACTATAATTCCTTGTATTTAATAGTAGGTTGATGCCATGCCCGCAATTTATGCTAATTACATCGTTAGGTCAAGTATTGGGACTTGGCCAGGTTAACAATCAATCATGTAGTGGATTTGCCATATTTAACTGATAAGTCACGAAAAGCAAATTTTTGAAAGGCTAATAAACTAACAAGGAAAAAGATAATTATAAGAAGATATTTCTGAATCGGAGCCAAGAATTCAGAACTAAGCTTTAAGAAGACAATCCATTTTATTATTAAAAATACTCGTCTGAACTATAACGAGATTTAAAAACTTTAATTGAGAACCGCGTTCCTATTTGACCTTGTTTACTTGTATAAAAGGCACTTATTTAACCAGCAACAGACTCTCAATGTGACGCCACTTGGCATGCGTAACATTAAAGATCTCGTTGAAAAACGTATAAGTGCCAATTTAGTTTCGAAGCAATTTTGAAAACTTCTGCTATTTCTAATAATGAAACAGAAGACAGACCTCTCTATCTCAAACCAAAAATAATTCAAGAATGGTTCAACATAAATGTCTAAAATAGCAAGAGTTGATCGAGTGTGAAAAACCCTACTGAATCTCATGAAAAAACCTGTTTTAAGTGTCTTAGTTAATCTTTCCTTATACAGCTTCTCGAAGCAGGTTCGAAAATCCTTGGTATTCATTGTTTATTCAAAAAGTATACACCATGATTATATACCATTTTCTAGTGCATGGTAATCTATAAGGTGTTATAATCATTCTGGATGAGAATGAACTCGAACTTCTACTTTTTCCAAGAAGGAAAAACACTTTGCAGAAAACGGGCATGTTTACTACAACAAAGGATGGATAATCATAGAAATTCGTGGACTTTTTACGCTTAATTAAAACGTCGCGTTTGTCATGTGCCGAACCTAATTGGCGACCAAAACATCAATGAGTTCAAGCAAAACACCAATGAGTTCAGGAAAAAACCATCCAGTTAATATATTTTGAGCTTATTTGCATTAGAGATTCGGTATCGAAGTTAGTTGGACGTTTGAACGTCTCCATTTTTGTGCGTGTTCAGTCAAAAGTTCAAGATTTAACTTCATTAGGAAGTCATTGCCAAATAAAGTCGAGTATAATCTAACCATGTGCTAACCACAAGTGTTCTGTCCATCCAAAATGTCTCAAGGATGTGTATCTAAGAGTAATTCCTCATTAATAAGCTTATATTTTCAAGGGGATTTTCGATAATCGTCCAGGAAGCTTTTTGAAGCTGAAGAGTGAAATTAACAAAACCATCGATGTACATTAGGTTTTTATGTAAATAAGGCGAATACTGAGGAATGTACAGTACGAAATTGATTGTTAAGAGGCAATTTTTTTCTATGTCACGTATTTGCAATGAAAAGTGTTCAAAACCGAAAATCATTTTGGCGTACATCTCAAGATTGCTTTGTTTTAACTTTATTCTCTAGTCTATACAGTACAAAATACAATTAAAATACAATTATCAATGACGCTTTAAAAGCGACGCGGCCATACAGTACAGCAATATAAGCCAAAATTGCTGAACTTCAGACATCATTTTCTCTTTGGCGTACCATCTAAAATCTCTTCATTTTGGTATTATTTTACAGATAAAGGACTAAACATACTTTTTAAGTTTTTTTGCCGATTGAGAAACGTATCGAAAAATAACATTTTTGGATATATAGATTATAGTCATAACAGCAAGTGGTATATTACACTCATTAAATGTTTTTGAGCGCGTGTTACGTAACATACAAAAAAGTCCTCTTAAAGAAAAATGACTAGAATAAGACTGGCCATCAAACAAGAGATGAGTTCTTTCCAAATAAAAAAGCACATAAAAAAACCTTGTTTTGAGGTCTCACTAGTTGAAACGCCAAACTCAATGCAGTCAAATAACGAGTTCAGTCCCTGTACATCAGGATCGGTTCACGATAATCGCGACGTTTGACTGAAACGTGAATCCTATAGTCATTGTGTGCCATCGTGTACACTCAAGCCAATTCGGTAAGTGAATACATTTGGCACTTTAGATTGTGTCAGTATTTCGTGTTTTTATACGCGCAGTCACTTGAAGCACGGTTACACTTCTATTAACCGTGCTTGAAGTTAAAGCTCAGTGGGCTGATCCATCTTACAACACGCATGTCCGGTATTACGCTTCAGTCTCCTGCTGTCTGCACACGAATTTTAAACCTCTTAACTAACGTAAATAGCCACGTTACGTTGGTGTGGTCAAAATACTGCTTCGCGCACATCTTTGGTGGTCTATAGCGCTACTTAACTTGGCAGCGGTCACTATATGTCTTCAACTGCGAGGCAAATTACTCTTGTCTTTGATGTTCACTATCTCTTACCCAAAAACAAAAAGTGCCTTAATTAAACTCAGCTCCTGCGCGCTTTATATAAACGTATACATTATAAAATAATTCTATTGAGGTCCGTTTACACGTGCAATTCTTGCTGTGAAATGAAATGCGAGTTTCAAAATGAAGTACGAGTGGATAGTGAGTTATGAATGTTCAGATGAAGATACATACACTTAGAACATTCATATAACCGTATCTCGTTCGTTCACATGCATCAGATGAAATCGCAGCAAAAATTCGGCAAGTGTAAATCGGGGCCCTTAAAGGCCCATACCGCAGACCGGACGCGATTTGGTAACGCAACGCGAATTTTCAGTTTTCAATGACATTTAACTTTAATATTTTTCAATGTTTTTCAAATATTCGGAACCACTTAAGCAATTTTAGCTATTTGGTCTGCATATCTTGTAAAATTTTTATCCGTTGACGGTTTTATTTGTTTTTGAAAACTGAAAATTCGCGTCGCGTTGCTGAATCGCGTACGTCCGGTCTGTGTGGGCCTTAAGTCTAAGAAGAGGCTTGATTCGGTTCATTAAGGATGTCTTGGCCTAGTTATGCATGCGTAATTTGATCAATTGCTTAGTTAAACATCGTTATTGCTTGATTTGGCAACAATACAATGCATACGTAACGAAGAAAAACAAGATATACGAGTGATGTTGTCCTTTCACCGAGTTTGTATAGACATTGCATTATACAAACTATGTTCAAATACGTCTTTGTAAATTTGGCAATCGTCTTTATTGTCCAGTGCTTACTAAGAAAACATTTATCACAGTTTGAAAGGCTAACAAGATTCTTGTTTAAAAACACTTCTGCAGTTTTTTTGTTAAAAATGGTTCCGTTCTAATATATCTTGAATCAAGAACTAAAATCATATTTACACAAAGAGATTATAAGGTTTTATAAGATGTAGATGTTTTTACAAACTTCATGCGCTTCTGCCATCAACACGAAATCGGTTAAAAAAGGACATGGAAATAAACAGAGATATTAGTACAGTAAATAAAGGCTAGACAAATTATGTTTTTATAAGCAAAGCCAAATGTAGCTATGCAAATATTTTAAAGCAAAAGTTTTGTTACAAAATGCAGACAACATTCAATACCGTACAGGCATAAACGGAGTAATAATTTCGACAACATCAAGCTGTTCATCTCAAATTGACAAACCGAATTATATAGTTTTTATATAATTTAGAAGTGAATGAATAGTGACCAGCGACGTTTCTGATCTACGAGTAGAAAGAATCCGTGCATCATTGTTTTCAAAACAGGACAATTGTCGGGAGCCACGCCCAATTGTAGGGGGTACGATCTATATCTGTGAACGCAATCGTGGTTGACCACTACACTACACATAAATTACAAGTAACTGAAAAAGTCTGACGGTAAAAGAAACGCGTGTGATGACATCTCCCTGAAAGGGACTCCATGCAAATTTATTTTTTTGAACAAGAACGCGAAAATATTTGTCAAAAACATTAAATCTAAGATTTTAAATCCGAATGAAAACCAAACTATATATAGTATTATTATACAAATGATAAGCACCTGTGTTCATTTGCAGACAACGATTGCTATTCTTTGAAGAGCATTCTCACGCTAATCAATGGAGTTTTCCTGTAATTTTTTTTGATCAAAAGAACACATTTCCTTGCTAGCGGCCATATCTATGCAGCACACATGTATGTCTTAATAAAAACAGTTCTCGATGTATTAAAATGACTCGGCATGACCCGAGGTATCTCGTCATTTTCTCGGCTTGATTACAGGAAGCCGGTTTGTGTGTCTACATGTGGGGAAGGATGCGGGAACAGTAGGAGAAAAACAAGGAAAGCCTAGAGAAAACTATTGCCATTCATGCAACACCACAGGGAATTCCTGCGCAAATAGCGAGCATGTGGCAAATTGAGACATTATTTACAAACATGTAAAAACAGTGGACAAATACGCCTCAAACGACCGCAGAAATTAGTTCAACGCGGCGTTCTGGTTTGCTGCACAGTAGGAATTTAACATTAAAATCTATGACTTGCGCAAGCCGTTTTCCCAAGTCATTCTGGCTATATTGTCAACCAATTAGAATGCTCCTAAGATTGTTCTAATTAGAACGTTCCCAGCCAGCGTGTGAAGGTTTTTCGCGGCTCTATTCCGAAGTATTAAAGCTTAGAGTCTTGATGGATATTACTCGAGTGATTTACCGGCTCAATTGTTATAGTAAGAAGTAAGAATCCTCGTCGGCAAAACCTTACTATACTTCTAATGACGTGATGTACAGTTGTTGACTAATTAGAATACAGAATTCCAAGTTTCTTTAAAATTACATGCATTAAAATGAGCGACATTACAAAGAAATGAGAAATCCTACCTTCGGCCGTCTTTTGGGATTCATATTCATCAATGAAATTGTTCAATATTTGTTTCGTTACTGTGCGGCGATTCCGGTTCATCAGTTTACTGAAGGGAACGAAAGCTGCCGTACCAAGTTGCAACAGCAAAAATGTTGAAAGTACCAATTGAAGTATGGTGTTCATTTTTTGAAAATTTTCGTTGAAAAACAAAATATAATAGCTCTAGAAAATGGAAAAGTCACAATCAGTACAAATAAATTATTTAAATGCTTTGAAATTCAAGTGAATCATAAAATGCGCAAAATAGATTCTCATATGAAATATTAACAACCCGTGTAGTCAGGTTGTAAATTTAGAAATCAACATGCATCCCACTGGAACTTAATTCGAAACATGAGATAATGAGAATAGACGGAACAGCAATGAAGTAATACTTATGAAACACTACAATGTAAAAATCTTGTAGCAAATACATCTTCTAGTTCTGATGAGTGGAAGAGTCTAAAACACCGTTTCATTTCAAGCATACAACTCGATTGAATTAAATGACTATAAATGAGGCAAAATCAAGAACGAGTGAAGAGTTTAGTATTTCACTTCAATATAGCCATGCAGGATACAAAATAATGCTTACCAAGTACAATAATTCTTGTCTTCTCTTCTTGTCTTCTCACTATGTCGATGTGCGTCTACTGAAGAGACAGCCGAAGCGGCGCGTATTTATAGTACAGCTAGCCCGAAGGCGTGAGTTAATGAGGGCCTAATTAGTGAATGTGTCTAATTCTAATTAAATCATAACCCAGGAGTAGTCGCGAAGCGGAAATAAGACTCGCAGTAAGCTGTCAACGACATCATCTTATATCTCTATCGTACATCTCGATAAAGTCCTCTCTATTTTATAGACAAAACCTTTGAGGTCATGTCATTCGAGAATTTAAATACCTCAAACGCCTACGTTGTCTGCAATGTTTGTGTCCGGTTGAAGTTTTAACATGCCGAAATCTTACACATGTCTCAGTTTAGATTTCGCGTGATCACTCCTTATCAATCATACATCAAACATTGTACTTTAAACAATTCAATAATGCATTATCATCGAGTAGGTTTCGTCTACATGATTTCAATATATGGATGAGAGTGGTGATGATCATGTTGATGTGCTTTAGTCGTGTTTACATATACATAAATCCCTGCTTAAGTTTCACAGCAAGAAGCTTACAAATTACGATATATTGATTGAGAAGTTTTTCAGTGCTATATATCGTTCTATTCATAGTACAAATTTATTCTAAAAAGCCTAGTTTTAAGTAATAGAACGATTATTCTTCTTCTTTTGCACGATCTTTAAAATACCTTCCAAATACATAATGTATGAGGTTATTTTGAGACTTTTAATGAACGCACTAATATACAGTTAGTTATATGAATAAATAATTAAGACGTCTACTTTTTTGAGAAGTATTCTCTCGTATTTTACTGAACTATATTCTGTTGTATTATGCTTTTAGTCCTTTTCATTCTAGTCATTCTGTTGCACTTTTCTAGAGTATTCGGTTGTATTACATTTATGTTCCATAATTGAATTCCATTGTACTGTATTAACCTATGAAATTGTTGTATTGTATTCTAATGTATATTGTATCAATTTGTATTCTATTCCATTATTGAAAAACTCAGCCTTACAAGAAAATTATCCAGCATGATTTTTCAGAGTTCGAATTAGAAAGATTAAATAAATGAATGCTTTAGAATGTTCCATTCAAAGGTTCTGCCCAAATTAATCTGGATTTCCGACGCGTCAGCCAATAATTCCAACATCAATTAACTATAAGAACTGCGATTTTGAAAAATTCAGGGAAGTCGGAATTGTAAGTGTAAATTCGTCTGAACTTCTTTATTAATTATAGCCTCGATACCCCACCTAAGGAAGCGGGAAGGCGATCAACTGTACGCCATTCTAATATGTTTCACTGTGGTTTCAACTACACCAGGGCTTTTTTCGACTCAAGTCTCAAATGAGAAATTTTTGGAGCGCGGACATTCCGCAGCACATAGAGCATTCACTTGTTTTAACCTCACCACAGGAGAAGCCAGTGGAAAAGACGTGACCGTGCACTGAAACGAGTTGTTTACGCCGGTTTAAAAGATGCAATTCAAATGCCAAACCGCATCAGGCACGTTAGATGTGCGTCATTTTTAGCACAAAGCAGCGGGGATTGAAAGGGCGATTCAACTAAGGACCTTCGCTCGAAACGTCGAAGTTTTCCTGGTATTTTTCAGGTGTTGCATCCCTCTTCAATCCACAGTTTTCTGGTATAAAGGCCCATTTCCACTTAGGAAAATTTTCCGCGGAAAGAAAATTTTGTAAAATGTGATTGGCCGACACAAATTTTCCGTCGGAAAAAAATTTTGAAGTTGAAAATTTTCAACTTTAAACAATGATATTTTCGGAAAATTTTCCGTGTCCGTGGACATTTTTCTTGAGTGGAAATGGGCCTTTATTGTCACTACCCACGCGGACACAGATAACTTTTAGCGTACTCATTCACCACTGTACAGACCTTAATATACACAATGGAGTGTTAATTGGCACAAACTTGAAATTGTGTGAAAACACTTGCTTTATAAAATACAAGCTCGTGTAGACAGTATAACACTTGTCAAAGTTAATTTGAAAAAATGTGTCCTTATATACAGACATATAGTCTCGTGTGATTGCTAATGACTGAAAATATAAGTGGAAGAAGCTTGGAATTGTGTGAACACACTTGCTCCATAATATACAAGCTCGTGTAGGCAGTATAACACTTGTCAAAGTTAATTTAAAAAAAATATGTCCTTATATACAGACATATAGTCTCGTGTGATTGCTATAATGACTGAGAATATAAGTGGAAGAAACTTGAAATTGTGTGAAAACACTTGCTCCATAATATACAAGCTCGTGTAGGCAGTATAATACTTGTCAAAGTTAATTTGAAAAAAAATGTGAAATCGTCCTTATATACAGACACAGTTTCGTGTAATTGCTATAATGACTGAGAATATAAGTGGAAGAAACTTGAAATTGTGTGAAAACACTTGCCATATGGTGAACACGCTCGTGTTATACTACGCTTCCTCGTTCACCCAAACCTCAATTCTGATATAAAACTCTACAAGTAGTATAAACATGCAATCATGCATGCTATCCATTCACGCCTAATAGATTCTGGATTTATCTAAACTCTATTGTTTCCGAGTGAAGCTATCAGTAAGTGGTGTGAGTGCTATGAGTGTCGTGCTAATCTCATGTTCATCACCGTTCAACTACTGTGCTGTGAAGAAAGTTGAATGAAAGCCTGCAAAGCAGCTCAAGATGAAGTTTTGATAAGGCAGAAACATCGCAGCAGTGACGCTGGGCAGATAAGCAAAGAACTACAACTGATAAACATGTTTTGCTATACCGCAACGCTTGCCTTGGTTGGCTAAGCAACGCGCATTGAATAGAGTCAGAGCCTCGGAGCATTTCTTTAGCGCCGGATATGAATCAAGTTTTAGGTCAAGTTGAAAGTTTTCATACAGAGACTTGGAGCATTTCTTTAGCGATATGAATCAAGTTTTAGGTCAAGTTGAAAGTTTTCATACAGAGACTTGGAGCATTTCTTTAAGTAGCGATATGAATCAAGTTTTAGGCCAAGTTCAAAGTTTTCATACGCTGAATCTAATGTAAATGAGCTCAAGCAGAGAGTTTAGGCCATTTGCATGGGCACGTGATAAGCGTCACTAGGCCACACAGATTTGTCTTAAAGCGATATGGAACGAGTATTAAACGATATAAAGAGCAATTATTAACGACTTAAAGAACGCGGTCTTGTGACGAATGCAGCAAAATATTTATAGAATATGGTCTTGATAATAGGCTTTATTTCTCTATAGAAAAGTATTGCAGAGGTTGAACTGACCTAAAGAGCAGCGATGGTGCGCGTTGAAAATTAATCTATTAATCTATAACTGAATCCTAACCACGCAAATATAATCTGCGCTATTTAATTTTCATAATATTGAATCTATAATTGCACGTGAATAACTACATGTATATTATTGAAATACTCCCGCAAACTTAAAAATTCAAATTTACCAATTGCTGTAACTACTATTCATATATCAATGTCAGGTTCTTATTTGCCTTCAGGCATTTTGAATCATCATCTTTGATTATTCCAGGGGACAGTATTTCAATGAAAATATTTCAAGTTACGTTTCATGTTATTATCAAGGGTTGAAATACATAGATTCTTCTTAATTTTTCCTGTCGGTAAAAAAATGAAAGACCTTTTTGGCATGCACTACAATCTACACAACTAATGAACAGCTTTTCATCGGCATTGAAAAGACATGCATTTCCCCATGAGTAAACGCAGTTAAGAACTCAATTTAGAAAATTGTTTGAGATTTCCGAGACCACCATGCCCGGAGAGAGAGCTTGTTTTCCACGGGATCACTTTCGTTATAATTACTCATACGATATTAATTCTCAGAGATGCAGATCAATGTTTTTGTTCACCTTTAACTTAATTATGTTGTCTTGAAAATTCTATAGCGATATCTTGCGTATGAGATAAAAATAGTAACATCGCGCTAAAGCCACCTATTGCGAGATACATTGCCGGTCACTTTAGGGCACAAAATTGCTCTCTCTTAACAAAAGTTTCATTGAGAACAAAAAACACAAAGAGCTGATTCAAATAGTAACTACCATGCAGACAATAAGGTAACAATTTGCTAAGATGCAAACATTTTGTTTTACTTACGAAATCGCGTGATCAAAAATGTTTATACAATCATTTCCGCACGCAAAATTCGGTGTACGCGCATTTTTTGCGCAAATATTCTAATTGCATTGGGCAAATATTCTAATTGCATTGGGCAAAGATTCTAATTCATCCTCGAATTCGTCGATGGCACTCGTTGAATGACGAAAAATGAATCCTCACATATGAAACTATAGGCGGCTTCAGACATGTATATGAATCCTTATAGTTAGGAAAGGGGGCAGTGCATTGATTTAATTAAAAGACTAACCCAGCGAAAAATTTGTAACTGAAATATTTTTGAATTGTTTTTCGGCTTGGCGCACTTAAGATAAGCTTCAAGAGGTGAACAAGGGAGGAATATTATAATGGCAAAAGATGATACGATAATACTGCATTCCTTAAATCCTTGGCTTTGCAGAAAAACAACTCAATATACTCTTCTGTAGGCAAGAGTTAAATTTGATCAATATATAACTCACTCTTTAGAAACTAGGGAATTATATATTGCATACATAGTACATACGCTAAAAAAACGCAGTAACATAGAAATCACACGAAAACTGCTTGAAATAAGATATAAATCACAGCAAGCAGGCCTTTTCTACAAAACAAATAGAAGGATAAAAGGGGTTAGGGAGAATGGCAAAGAGCATTTCTACTCAAAGTAAACTTGAAAGCAACTGAAAAGAACTTAGCGTTGGATGGCTTTGCAGAAAATCTAATCGGAATATATTATACCCTAGTCTTGTTCTAAAACCTTAGTGTTATTAGTCAATTTGATGAATATTTGTATTTTTGGCGATATAACTGGATTTTAAAGCAAAACAAAACAACAAGATCGGAAGAGGGGTTTGAAGACAAAAACAATGTTTTCGTGTGCTTAACATA